TTCGGATCACCGGTTCGAGTCACCTCAACGGCGGTTGAGCTGGCACCGGAACGTCGAGGTTGCTCCCGTCGCCGGTTATCTTGCTCTGAAATATAATCAAATGATTGACAAAGGGCGGCAGGCCCGGTCACCATCAATTTTGGGACCATCAGGGGTTTTTCGTCTACCAACCCTTCACATTCCAATTCTTCCACCGAGGGAATCAAAAATCGCCAGACGATCTATCGGGAGAGTCGCCGACGTTTCTCTTCAACTAGAACAATCAAGTTGTTCCCTGCTGGGACATGCCCAAGCTTTCTTTTGCCACTTCGACGAGTGGGATAATTGACAAGGAATCCTTGCATCACAAGGATTAGGAAGCGCGCCAAAGAATCTGTTCAAATTCAGTTGCTGCAAGTTTGAGCAATACTGCGTCGTTTGCTTTATTACCATGCTGGTCCTTTATTTGTGTTTTGTTACTTTTTAGTCTTGTCAAGAGTTGTTAGTTTCTTGAGAGTCTTCAGCGAGCTAGGTTGTTAGTTGGTTTGTGTTTAGCTTGATTCTAGGTTAGTGGAACGTTGGGAGCAACCAATCGTGTGGTTTGCACTGACAAGTATAAGTATTTTGCATTCAATCAATAAAAGACTCGTTAGATTGCAATTTACAGTGTTCTACATTTTGTATCAGAGCATTAGCAAGCTGTAACCATTGTTGCTTTCAAGCAAAGGATTTGAGTGATTGATCAACGAAATTGAGAGTGAAGTGCAAGATCTGGGTTTGGGAAACATGAGAGTTCTCTGGTGAGGTGTTTTAAGGGTGAGTGATTTCCGAGTGCTGTGAGTTGTGTGTGATCTGCAAACATGAGTGATAACAATGGCTTTGCTCAAGTGGGGTTGCCAAAGTTTGATTGGGATTTCGATCACTGGAGCCTATTTATGGAAAATCTCATGCGATCCAAGGAGTATTGGTCAGTGGTCAGTGAGGGAATCCCTGAGCATCCTGCTGGGATTCAACTGTCTGCTGTGGAAACCAAGAACCTGGATGACCTCAAGCTAAAAGATCTCAAGGCCAAAAATTAACTGTTCAGCTCCATCGACAAGTCCATCCTGAAGACAATCACAAAAAAAGCTACCTCCAAACAACTCTGGGATGCTATGAAGACAAAATACCAAGGGAGTGCTCGTGTTCAGAAGGCTCAGTTGCAGGCATTAAGGAGAACTTTTGAAGTTCTTGAAATGAAGGAGGGTGAGTCTATTTCTGCCTATTTCAGTCGAGTTATGGTAGTGGCTAATGACATGAGGAATTGTGGGGAAGAGATGCCTGATGTTAAGATTGTAGAGAAGATCTTGAGGACATTGACTGAAAGGTTTAACTATGTTGTATGCTCCATAGAGGAGTCCAAGGACATAGAAACTCTTTCTGTTGATGCCTTGAAGAGTTCCTTACTGGTTGATAAACAAAAGTTTCATAGGAAGTCTGCTGTGGAGGAAGATCAGGCACTGAAAATGGCTTATGAAGGTGGAGGTAGAGGTGGAAGGGGAGCAGGCAGAATTGGTGTGTGGCAAGGAAGGGGAAGAGGAAGAGGAGGAAGAGGCTGGAATAGAGAGCATGTTGAATGCTTCAAATGTCACAAGATTGGTCATTATCGCAGTGAATGCCCTGACTGGTACACAAATCAACAAGCTCACTATTCTCAGGCCTATTGCAGTGACAAAAATGACAGAAATGCTCTTCCTAATGATGTTCTGTTAATGGCTTTCCTGGAAGAACCTCTAGCAGAAGGAATGGACAATTATTGGTTCTTAGATTCTGGTTGTAGTAATCATATTCATGGAGACAAGAGATGGTTTGAATCTCTTGAAGCTACTCAAGCTGGGAAGATTAGACTGGAAAATGATACTGGATTGGATGTTGCTGGCCAAGGCAAAGTAAGGTTGCATCTGGGAAGTGTGAATCTCATTGTACACAATGTGTTCTATGTACCTGGATTGAAAACCAATCTACTGAGTATGGGCCAGTTGCAGGAAAAGGGGTTGGAGTTCATGGTAAAGAGGAATACTTGCAAAATTTATCATGAAGAAAGAGGTTTTCTGCTAGAAACCACAATGAGATCAAACAGAATGTTTGTTTTGAAGGATGAGTCAGGTAGGACTGAAGCTCACTAGATTCAAACTGAAGATACCTCGAAGACCTCATTGAGCCTTTGGCACATGAGGTTTGGTCATTCGAATCCTCAGGGTTTCCTACAAGTGACACAGAAGGGGTTCATCACAGGCATACCTCAGCTGAAGGGGAAGGTTGGAGTCCGTTCTACATGCCAAGTGGGCAAACAAACCAGGCAAATTTTTCCAAAGCACAGCCTGTGGAGGGCCACACAGAAGCTTCAACTGCTCCATGCAGATCTTTGTGGACCCATCACACCCATTTCAAATGGGGGGAGAAGGTATATCTTTAGCATAATTGATGACTTTAGTAGAAAATTGTGGGTCTTCTTCCTAGAAGCTAAGTCTGAGTCTCTGGAATGGTTTAAGAAGTTCAAGGCACAGGTTGAAAAGGAGACTGGTCTACCAATTAAGTGTCTCAGAACAGACAGGGGAGGAGGATTCTTGTTAAATGAATTCCAGGATCTTTGTGATGCAAATGGAATCAAGAGACAGCTAACAGCAGCTCTAACTCCTCAGCAAAATGGGGTAGCAGAAAGGAAAAACAGAACCACCATGAACATGGTGAGGTGCATGCTCAAAGACACTCTAGTACCTGCAAAATTCTGGCCAGAAGCTGTAACCTGGACAACTCATGTTTTAAATCGAAGCCCCACTGTTGCTAATGATGGAAGAACACCACAGGAGCTGTGGACTGGTGCTCCCCCATCAGTCTCTCACTTTAGGGTCTATGGTTGTGTGGCATATGCCCATATACCTGATAAGTTCAGAAAGAAGTTGGATGATAAGAGTGTCCAGTGCCATTTTCTGGGGATTTCCACTGAATCAAAGGCCTACAGACTTTACAATCCAGAAACACAGAAAATTCCGGTGAGTAGGGATGTGGTTTTTGATGAAAGTAAGGGATGGAAGTGGAAATATGATGTTCAACCTGTCCTAACAAGTCTACTATGGGAAGTAAGTGATGATCCTTATGAAGATTCTGATGGAGAAGAAGGACCACAGCTTTCAGCTACTGCAGTTCCTGATGAAACAAATGAGGAGGAAGAAGAAGCTGAAGAACCTCCAAGTCCAAAAACTCCTACACCTCCTGCTGTAACTGAAGCTACAAATGAAGATGCTGGAAATGAGGCTACTGATGTGCTAGGCCTACCTCGAAGCACTGATCTTGGTCCCAGATCAAGAAAGCCACCAAGTCACCTGGCCATATCTGACTGCAACAGCATAGAAAGTGAGCAACTAGAATGGCTGGCCATGATTGTAGTATCTGAAGATCCTCAATCCTTCGAAGAAGCTGCCACAAAAGAAGTCTGGAACGAAGCAATGAGGCAAGACATAAAGTCCATTGACAAGAACAACACCTGGGAATTAACTGATCTTCCTGCAGGTATAATTCCCATTGGTCTCAAGTGGATTTATAAAACTAAGTTTACTGAAACAGGAGCTCTGGATAAACATAAAGTTTGGTTGGTTGTTAAAGGATATGCTCAGAAGCTAGGAATAGACTACAATGAGGTCTTTGCTCCAGTAGCCAGATGGGATACTATCAGGTGTCTGTTGGCTTTTGCTGCACAACATGGAGCTCCAGTCTGGCAGCTTGATGTCAAAAGTGCATTCCTCCATGGAGAACTTATTGAGGATGTTTATGTTGAGCAACCACAAGGATTTGTGGTTGCTGGGGAGGAATCCAAAGTATACAAACTCAAGAAAGCCTTGTATGGCTTAAAACATGCTCCCAGGGCCTGGTACAGTCGAATAGAAACTCATTTATTGGCTGCTGGGTTCCAAAAATGTCCATATGAGGCCACATTGTTCATCAAACACTGTTTTAAGCCAAAGAATCTGTTCAAATTCAGTTGCTGCAAGTTTGAGCAATACTGCGTCGTTTGCTTTATTACCATGCTGGTCCTTTATTTGTGTTTTGTTACTTTTTAGTCTTGTCAAGAGTTGTTAGTTTGTTGAGAGTCTTCAGCGAGCTAGGTTGTTAGTTGGTTTGTGTTTAGTTTGATTCTCGGTTAGTGGAACGTTGGGAGCAACCAATCGTGTGGTTTGCACTGACAAGTATAAGTATTTTGCATTCAATCAATAAAAGACTCGTCAGATTGCAATTTACAGTGTTCTACAGAATCTTCCGCCTTTCTTTTGGGCAGTGGTTTTGTACGCAGTTGAAGATGATAGCGAGCACCGCTCAGACCAGTAAATTTCCGATCCATCGCCCTAGGATCAGGAGAGAGCTTCTCCTTTTTTTTTTTTTTTTTTTCACTTCCCTCCCAAGAGTTGTGGCTATCGGTTCTTTTTAACATTTTGAAAAAATTTCCGTCTACAACCGGACAAGGGCCAATAATGAATGAGGGTGAAGTTTTGAAAACAAAAGATAATTAACTCGAGTGCGAGACTTCACGTGATAGGTACACAACAGCAAAACCAAACAAATTCAGAATGTTAGCTCCCCGACCAACGCGAGCAAGCGTTTCAAACTAGTCACTTACTCTGCCGCTCGCTCACTCAAAATGACTTGCCGAATCTGATGGGATTTTTATGAGTCAATTCAATTACCAAATTAGATACATTCGTTAATGATCTTGCTTCAAGTAAACAATGGTGTACTTTATGAGTTATCGGTCCCAACACCAAACCCTCTCTCGTGGTTCACCGCTACCTCACATATTTATTGCTGCATCTGAGTTTGCATAACCGCCCAAATTCTCTCATTTGGGGGCCTCTGAAACCGAAAGATAGGTCAGGCTGCTACTACTACTACTATTGTTATTATTACACTTTTTCAGTTTGCCCGGCTGCAGCTAGCAGTTCCACTTTCCTCGCTCTGTACTTTCTCTGTTTTGCGAATGAAAATGGCAGAGGAAGAGAGGTAACTATTCTATCTGGCTATCTGCGCTCTCTCCCCATTCATTTGGTTCACATTTTGTTCCGTTGCTCCAAGCTGAAGGGAGAGATGGGTTCGGGTTCATTTTCGCGTTTCGGTTCGACTGTGGAATCGCTGAGGGGAAGGTTGCTAGCTGAGCGACAAGCTTCGAGGGTGGCTAATGAAGAGGCAGAGCAGCTGGCTGACAAGGTCTCTCTCTCTCTCTCTCCCTGTAGATTGTTAATAGATTAGATCATTGGACATTTGGACATGAAAAGTTTCTCAACTTGGATCCTCTTCTTTTTATTGTTTGTTTTTGCTTCAGCTGAGGGAGCTGGAGAAGAAGCTAAAGGAAGAGACTAAACTGAAGTGGAATGCTGAAAAGAAGCTTACATTCCTCGTGAAGAAGTTCCAGTCCTTGAATAACATTTCTTCTTCCCTCACACCCCAGGAATTATACTGTTCACTGTCAGGAAGCTCATCGTCCTCCATTCTTAACACTTCTTCTTCAAGCCACAAGGACCCAGAAGAAGAAGGAGAATCCAAAGTCCCCAAAATAAGGATCCCAGAAAGGCACTAACTTTTTCGTCCACAATAAACCAAAAACTTTATCATAATGGCCTTTTAAATAATGTGTTCTGCTTCGTCATTTTATTTTGGGTATGTGGGATCTTTTTTCTTTTGTTATTATTGCTACCGACCAGTTCATTGCGCTGGAGGAATGAAATTGAAGGGAGTGATGGGCAACTCAACGGCAAGTGTCCCTGCAAATGTATGGGAGCAGGGGCAGTAGCAGTCACCATTCCAAGAGCAGCAGAGCGAGTGGCAAGTTAAAGATGAGTGAGAAAGAAGTTGGGGAGTAAGGAGGAGCTGCCTGATTACAGTCGCCCCCATTTGATGCCATTAATGTATGATGGTGGGGGTGGTGAGATACGTGTAAACCAGAAAATGGAAAATAAAATCGTCATTCCATTAAAAGAATTTATAGCAACTTGATTGGCCCTGTTAATGCCCTCATAGCTTAACCGAACTTGGGCCACTGCTGATTGCACTGATAAGATCTCTTTGGCGAGTGAAATAAAGTTGGATCACATTTTCGTCGGATTTAACTTTTAAGGTTGTCATTGGTACTGTTAAAAGAAAATTTGACTGATCCATTTCTGATTGCAATATGGAGACCGGATTCGGTATCAAAGCTTTATACACGTTATACACTTATACTAAATGAATTGTTTAGAATTTTGGTATCAAAGCTATCATTGGCAAATAGATAAGATAGGAGGCGGGTCGCTAATAATGTTTTTTTTTTACCTCTCTGCTCCATTAAAGAAAATCAGGAGAAGAGGCCTATTCGACAGTACTCCTACGAAGAAGGCTCAGATATAAAGCATCCAAGGCCTGTCGTATTTATAGGTGTCAATCGGACGGGTTCGGGCGGGTTCAATCGGGTTCGAGGTCAAACGGGTTGCGGGTTAGTCGGGTTGCGGGTTCATCGGGTTCGGGTTCAAACGGGTTGCGGGTTCATCGGGTTCGGATTCAATCGGGTTGCGGGTTCATTGGGTTTTGGGTCGGGCGGGTCGGGTTTCGGGTTGTTCGGGCCAGCGCATCAAGTAACTTAACTCATTACTCATTACCAACTTACACATTTTATTATACTAATTTAAAATATTTTCTCAACATTTTAACCAATTTATTTCTACCTCGTATATATATACTTTATTTTTTTGAAAAAAAACTAGTCAAAATGTTAAATCAATTTGTATGACTTGCAAACTTGTTATGTAATTAATCATAATTGGTAAAGTATTATAGCTAATAGTAATGGTGATATCAATATTTGCAACCAAAAGACCCCGTTAATTATTTATTTGATATTTTAGTATTAATTCAGTAGTAATTGGATTAAAGTATCTCGTTTAGTATAACCATGCAAATCTGGTATTTGGCGTGTGGTATTTGGCAAAAGCATAGTGATAAAAGGAGCTATTTCAAAATAACTCATTTCCCAAATAACTTAGGGTCGTTTGGATGGAGTATTTGTATGAGTTATTTGGGTTCAAATAACTCACAATGAGTTATTTGGATGCAAATAATTCGTTTGGCAGGGTTTTAGTGAAATGAGTTATTTGGACAATGAGTTATTTACAAATAACTCAAAACGAGTTATTTGAAATAACTTATACTCATGTGTTATTTCGAAATAACTCGTTTTTATCACTCTACTTTTACCAAATACCACATGTCAAATACCACATTTGCATGGTTCAACCAAACGAGATACTTTATTTCAATTACCACTAAAATAACACTGAAATACCACATTTGCAATAAATGAGTTATTTGACACTACAAATACTACATTGACAATTAACCCATCCAAACGACCCCTAAGGGTTATTTGACACTACAGTTTTAGTAAACTGTTGCCAAACGAGTTATTTGTAAAATTGTTCGAATTATCCTAAAAATTGAACCATTAAAGATTAGCTAACAAATTTAGTAAAATTATTGTGACTTCAATCATAACTTACTCAATAGCATATATCCTATACACTTAGCTTTACCCTCAATCAACAATATTAAGTTAGAATATGTTGTTGCTTGTATACCCTGAACCATCAATACATTATACACTAACCACATAACCTATACCCTAATCATATGTCCTTGAGTTGTGATTTTGCTAGTATAGTTAATTTAAAAGTGAAATTCATATTTTGATTTTCAAAACATAGATAAAAAGTGATATTTGCTAATTGTTATACCCTAACCATATATTCTATACTTTACACCACATACCTTGTACCCTAATCACGTACCATAAACATAAATTAAAAAGGGATCTCCTGCAGTTAAAGACTTCAAATGACTTCAAGTGAACATATGTTAATAAAAAACTTAGAACCGTCAAAACCATCAATATCTTATACCCTAACCATATACACCCTAAACCACCATATAATTTATATCCTAAACAACGAACCGTCAAAGATTACTTATCAAGTTTAGTATAAATTGTTGTAACTAATGGTTAATTTATTTATTAGCCCATAAAAAATTACATACATATATTAGCCTTCAAAGCATATAAGAATAAGTTTAACTAGTCATGCCCTCCATATAAAAGTTAAAGATTCATATATCAAAAGCTAAAATTATGAAAACACCAAAAAAATTGAAAACACCAAATTTGTTTCTTTCTTTCTTTTCACAAAAATACTAAAATTTCTCTCCTTCTTTCTCCTTCCATACATTAGAAAAATTCAATTTTCTCTCCTCTTTCTCTTCCATAAAATTGAAAGAACCAAATTATCCTCTTCTTTCCTTCTACAAAAAGTTGAAAAGTCAAAAGTTTCCCTCCTTATTTCTCTTTCATAATCAAAAGAATCAAACTTTCCCACTTCTTTCTCTTCCCACATATCAAAACCACCAAAATTCCCACTTGTTTCTTTTCTAAAAAATTCAAAGAACCAAATTTTCCTCTTCTTTCTCTTCCCAAAAACTTGAATACAACAAAATTTCTCTCTTCTTTTAAAAACATCAAATTACCAAATACATTATTTTGTTTTATTTATATTTAATTGATAATTTTATTGAATAGTTAAATTAACCAAAATTTTAATTTATATATTATATTAATATTGTCATGATCTCAAGTGACCTTCATGTTTCAATTTTTGTAATTTTCTTAAAATACGTAATATCAAGTGAGTTTCATATTTTTAAAATTTCTTATACGAAATGAAAAAATAATTTTACTTAAGTTTAGAATGAAAAACTTTATTTTGAAAAACTATATATTGTATATTTTTATAATTATTCAAGTGGATTAGATGAAATTCAGGTTGAGTCAGTCGGGTTATGGGTTAGTCGGGTTCGGGTCAATCGGGTTCAGGTTAATCGGGTTGCGGGTCAGTCGGTTTGCGGGTCAATCGGGTTCGGATTAATCGGGTTGCGGGTAAGTCGGTTGCGGGTTAGTTGAGTTGCGGGTCAATCGGGTTGCGGGTCGGGCGGGTTACGGGTTGTTGACTTTTAGTCAATTCGGGTTGCGAGTCGGGTAGATCGGGCGGGTTAATCGGGTCGGGCTATGTTTTGACACCTATAGTCGTATTGGTCCACCTTTTCTCCACACTTCACTCACCCACTCTCTCTAGTGTATTTTCTTTTTATAGAAATCTCTCTAGTTTATTTGTAACATTTCGAACCTTTTTCCAAGCAACATATTGTCCGATTTGGGCTTCGACATGGGCTGCAATTCAAGATGACTTCTCATAAGGTCACACATTCTTGTTGCAATTCACACTGAACACGTTTAACTTCGGAGTTCTCACAATAAATCCTACATTTCACCCCAAAACGCGTCTTGTCAATTAAGATCGGTTTCTTACTTATGAACAATGGATCTCTCCTGTGCTTTGTGGAGGTGGAATTTGCCTAATGTGTTAAAGTATTTGATTAGAAGTTCGAGTATCATTTTGTAGTTTGGATTAGAAAGGATAAATTTTTCCAAAAATAGAATTTACAAACCGATTTGTAATTTGGCAACCAATGATTCTATATATGCTCGTTTGAGCACTTACAACCTATGAATAAATGAACTTTCACCAATTCTTTCTCATTGCCTCCTCTCTATTCTTCCCCAATGACACTGTATCTTTTTTCTCGCCTTCTCTTCTTCTCCCTTATCTTCCCAATTGGTCCGCTCAAAAGAATTAGGCTTTACAATGGTAAAATACATGTGATACCATTAAAGTTTTAAAATTGGTAGAGCTATATCACTAAAGTGAAAATAGGGCACTCCACTAAATTCTTTAAATTGTGCATCCATCCAATTTTCCGTTATTTGACTAACGGCCTAAATAAAAAATTAATTTATCTAGTCACATAAATGTTGACCACGGGCCATAGAGCTACAAACCAAGCGACTCAACCCCACCCTCGCCCCTGTCTCCTCGATGGCAATTGCTTTAGCTTCCTTGCCGCCGACCACCAAACTAAGTTGTGAAAGGGATAAGAAACAAAAAAAGAACCTGAACATTTTGGGAAACACACCACCAACAAAATCAATAATCCACCGATTAACAGAAGCAGAAGAAAACTCATAATAAGATGGAACAATGGATCGATAAAAGAGGCGTTTGGGTAAACCAAATAAACGGGAATAGAAAATAAAAATACAGAGTTCATGTATAAATTTGTTGAAATCTCTGTATGTCCCCACATGAAGGCTGAAATGCAAAGATCCATGGAAGCTTAAAATATTAATGGTCGGAATTTGGCTGTTGTAAGTGGGAGCGGATATGGTGACAACACCATATTTGTTGTTATTGTAACAACAACATAGGTGGACCAATAGGAACCCACCATTGTTCATACTTTTCAATTCCATGCGTTGACTAGGGTAACAAACAAAGGAAGGGTATTTTTGTCCTACCGAAAAATTGCAGCTCCTATTGTCCGAAAAATTGCAGCTCGTTTCTCTCTCCACACTTTATTCTCTCTCCAATCGCGCGGAGCTGAGGCTGAACGAAAACACCACCGCAACGGCAGCGACGAGATCCTGATCGCAGCAGCTACCGCAACGGCAGCGACGAGATCCTGATCGCAGCAGCTACCGCAACGGCGGCGATGAGATCCTGATCGCAGCAGCTACCAGAACGGCGACGATGAGCACCTGATCGCAACAGCTACCGCAACACCAGCGAGGACGGAGCGAGCTCCTGATCGCAGCTAAGATATTGACGATGGACGAGAATCGTGTAGATAAAGTTTCTATTGGTTCTGTAGATGCTCAACAACTCCTGCAAATTGCAACATCTTTTGACAATGCAACAAAAAGCGGATATCAGCTGGAAACCTCTATTTCCACCAACAATGCCAACAATGAACAAGAAGAAGGTACGCTCAAATCAATCCTTCCTGTTTTCGTACAATGAGCACCACAATCACGCTTATACAAGCCATTTACCATATCATAAGCAGTACCAATCAAACCGCCCACAAAAATCCCACAAACGGTACCAAAAGCATCGCCAAACACACCACATTCTTCCCAAAACAATCCACGGGAAAAAAAGACAATCAACCAAAACACTTAAAAATCAAACCACAAAGCTTCTTAAACGCACCAAAACACCTCCAATGCACACCATTAAAACCTAAATCGTTACATTCTACAAGCTGTTTGTAAAAAAAATCATACATTGTAATGCAAACCATAAATGTCATAAAAGCATCATGAATAACTACAATGCAAACCACTTTTCACTTTTCTAGTAAATGTCATCGCAAAATGAAATGATCAAGTGCTCATTTCTTTCATCATTGCTTACAGGTGTGACATCAAACATATCCGAGTCAGACTACACTAATTTGGGGTTGGCATTCAAAACCATTGAGGAAACAAAACAATTCTACAAGAACTATTCTCACGATCTTGGCTTCAGCGTGAGAGACATGGGAGCTGTCAAACGTTCTACAAAAAGACAGCCAACCAAAACAGCACGATATGCTAGGTATTGCTGCAGCAAAGAAGGATACAAGACGACAAGCAAGTCAAATCCCAAGAATAAAGGATCAATCGATGTCAAGGCTTATCAACGTGCTGTACCAGAAACTAGAGTTGGCTGCCCAGCTATAATCAAATTCAGATATGATATCACGAAGGATGAATGGCTGATGGACAAGTGGATAACAGAACAAAACCATGATCTCCTCCCTCCAAAATTCAAACATCTGTTGAGGTCAAACAAGGGGATCTCAGAAATGCATGCAATGGTCGCACAAGTGCATGCAGATTGTGGAGTTTCACTACGGCAATCATATGAGTTGTTCACCACAACTTCAGGGGGGGGGGGGGGGTGAATGTACCTTTTACCCCTCATGATCTGAAGAACTATATCACAGGGACAAGGCAGAAATCAATGAAACCAGACGAAGTAACTATACTTCTTGAACATTTTCGCCAGGAAGCTTACAAGAATCCGTCATTCTTCTATGAAATTGAGGTAGATAATAACGAAGATATTGCAAGTATATTCTGGGCTGATGCAAGAATGCGGTTTGACTACAGTTGCTTTGGAGATACGATCAGTTTCGACACCACATACAGGACAAACCAGAATTATCGTCCACTAGGTTAGTATTCCTTGCACTAGTTAATTTTCTTGAGATTTCGAAGTTGAATGCATACCAAACATTACACAATGCATACCATAAGTAACATAAAACCACCCCAAAAACTCTTAAAACAAACGACAAAAAAAAAAAAAAACATGAAACCTTCTTTTTCAGAATACTAACCAGAAACCTCCTAAACCACACTAAACACGTCCTAAAACACACCATATATATATATATATATCATAAAAGATAGTCTTTGTTTGTTTCAATATTTAATTCTATGTTGTTCTTTTTTTTTTAAATTACAACTTTGTTTGTTGGCTTCAACCACCATCGCACACTCTGTATCTTCGGGGCTGCTATCCTATATGATGAAACAACCGCTAAATTCAAGTGGTTGTTCGATGCATTCTTGAAATGTATGTCAGGCACCCGACCAACATCAATATTCACCGACCAAACTGCTGCAACCACCGCTGGGATTAGATCCGTCATTCCTGAAGCATTCCATGGCATGTGTACTTTTCATATCAAGCAGAATGCAATGAAGCATCTAGACACCACAAACACAAACATTCTAGAAGATTTGTAATATTTCACTTTTGGAGTAGAAAATGAGGAAGAATTTGAGTACAATTGGTCAAGGTTGCTAGACACATATTATCCAGAAGAAGGCACCAAGCCAAGGAACTGGTTGGATTCAATTTACAAGGTGAGGAAACAGTGGTCTTTAGCATGGGCTAAGGACCACTTCACAACTAGTATACGAAGCTCACAGCTGAGTGAGTCTTGTAACAACAACCTCCGAAACTACCTTTAACCAGATAGCAACCTAGTTGAGTTCTTCACATACTTCAACAAGTTGCTCGAACGGAAAAGATCAGACGAAATGGACATGCATTATCAAATGGCAAACACAGTCCCAAACAACATGTACGTATTACTTCCTTTATTTGAACTTTTATACTGTAGAATGCATCCACAAGTCTCCTTGTCCAAACAAAAAATAGTAGCAAACACCCCACAATTGATATAAAACCCTACCAGAATAGTTGAATACAAACCAGACACCACCTAAACCAACCCAGAAACCCTACAATCCACACCACAGACCACCTAATACAACCCATAAACACCACAATGCACACCGCACGAGCTTAAACAACCCATGAACTCCACAATCCACACCACACGCGACTTAAAATAACCCATAAATCCCACAATCTACACCACAAACAGTACAATACATACCATAAAATCATTATTGTAGACAAGATGCTTATGAATAATTGTATGTTGTATGTCATCTTCCAACAGGTATGACAGAAGCCCACTTGTTCAGCAAGTCGCAAAATTATACACAACTAAGATCTACAGTTCTTTCCTTGAGGAGTATCCAGAAAGCCTTGCATTTTTTGTGTTCCGAAATGAATCTATGGACAGAGATGGAATGACAGCTTATGAAGTGAAGAAACTGGGAGGATTCAGCAAAAGAGTTGTGTTAGTGAACAAAGAGGAGAAGAAATACAAGTGCTCATGTCGTTTGTTTGAAAGTTCAGGCTAGTTGTGCAGACATGTAAACAGACAGATAGAGATGGTTGGATTCAATGGTGATGATATTGAGAAATTGACTATCCCTAAGGAATATATTCTGCCACGATGGATGAGAGATGCCAAATCTGGAGAAGTTCACAATAAACACAATAGAATGTGCTGCAACAGATACTTATGAAGGGAGGTATGATGAACTGTGTGCTAGCATGGTTATTCTAGCAACAAAAGTCTCAATACATGACAAGGTCTTCTCAATGGTTAAGGAAAAGATTGCAGAGCTCACTAAACTAGCTTTCCAAAGCCTTCAGAGTCAAGAAACTCAACAAACAGTACCTGGTAATTTCACACATCTTGTTAGCATCCCTACTTATGTTCACCAGTAATTGCTTAATCCAAGCCACTAATGATCTAATCCAAACCATAAATATCTTAATCCAATCCACTTATTGCTTAATCCCTACTTATGTTCACCAGTATCTTGCATGTTACTTTTTCAATAGTTGGAACCACCAGTACATCACCCTCACTAAGCGCTGCTGCTTCAGCTACAAATGACAAGTATGCCAATGTGATGGGATTCAAGGCTCGACAAGACCCATGGAAATGAAAGAAGAGGCCAAGAGGTGGACTTGAGATAGCGCTGGAGAGGGCTAGAAAGCAAAGAATTGATGAACAGGTTGCCAACAAGCGTTACAAAAGCAACAATGAGTGATTAGTCTCCTAGTTGTTATCCATGCTTTTTTTTATCTGTCATAAACTTTTAGATAACTATGAGGCCAATATGAACAGTTCCAGGCTTTGATAATATCTTAACAAACAATAACACCGATGCAGCAAAACAAACTACATATGTACTAACACACACCATACATTGTATAACCCTGGGGAAAAGAAATAACCTATAAACCTTATGAACCACAGTACAATACGCGTTAAACAATCCACTTGTCTTATAATACACACCATACATAAAGAAAACAAACTACGAAACCTCTTAACAAAACCAAACCACAAACATATGGAAACTTTCTAGAACACTCATTAAGCAAACCACATATGTACTAACACACACCATACATCGTATAACCCCGGGAAAAAGAATCAAACTATAAACCTTATGAAACACACAACAATACCCGTTAAACAATCCACTTGTCTTATAATACACACCATACACGAAGAAAACAAACTACGAAACCTCTTAACAAAACCAAACCACAAACATATGGAAACTTTCCAGAACACTCATTAAGCAAACCACATATGTACTAACACACACCATACATTGTATAACCCTGGGAAAAAGAAGCAAACTATAAACCTTATGAACCACACTACAATACCCGTTAAACAATCCACTTGTCTTATAATACACACATACACGAAGAAGACGACATTTCTTCTTAATCAACCCACAACACTTCAGATACAGAACAAAAAGCCTTAATCAACACCATTAACACATATTAACACACTGAAATCTGAAAATGTTCTTGCAAATGCATCCTAAAATCAGCTAGTCCACCTTGCGATCAAACTCCAAACTCTTCTTCTTCACTTGTTCAAGTAAACCGTTCTCCTCGTTTAGCAGCAATGTTAATGTGATCTCATCCCGCCTCTGCTTGACTTGTTTTTGCCAGTTCCTCGTAGCTGGCACAAGTTTGCCTTCCCAAAACTCAGCAAAATTCATAATAAAAACACCACAGTCAACCCCACCATGTTGTCTCAACCCTCGCATTTTTACCCACTCGAATTCTTCAAATTTGCAGGGCTCTCGTCTACAGGCAGGAATGTATTATGTGGCATAGTGGACCACCATATCCGCAACAACACGAAACTTGGAATCAAGTTCGTCAGGGTAAAGGCTGTCAAGATAATCATATCGTTTGTTGACACTCCAAAACTCAACACCAATCTGCGACCAAGTGTAATCGCAGACCGGGAATGCAGTAAAGTGGCAAGTTATATTATCAACCCGGGGTCTAGATCTACTGCTTACTCAGTGATTATCTATTATCTAGCCAACTAAGTGAAGTGATTGTTGTTTAAAGCAAAAGCAGAAAGAAAACAGGAATTGGTACGGTTTTCTCAAGCAAAGAAGAGTCAGTCGGGAATGAGTCCCCCTAGCTCCTTAGTTAGATTTCAATTGTAATTTCCATGGGTTGATTTACTGTTGATTAGACTGCGTAAGATCCGACAGTAGCTTGGAATCTCTTAAGCTGATCAAGCCCTCTCAGTCTAACTACCCGGCAGACGACTAGTCTTCACCGGGATAGAAAGCTGAAGCAGTAAGAACATAACTCGACTACTGGAATTGGATTCCAGTACAAAGCAGTAAACTGGCTAACTCTTGTATAGCCAATCTCCTACTACCGAATGATGAGGCTCTAACAACCTAATCAGATTCTATCTATCTCAGGTTGCAGCAGAAATCAGGCAAAGCTGATCAGACTTCAATTGACTCAATAAACATGCATCATTCGATTAAAACCAAGCAGTAATATCATCCCAAGTCATTACAATCAAATCCCTAACACATAGAACTAGGGTTTTTCATACCCAAGTGAGAGAAGGGTTCTACTCCATAGAGAGAGAGAGGAAAACAGAGTACAAAGCAGTCATACTCATAACTGTAACACCCTACTACTTCTTGTAACATCCTACTACTTCTTCTCGTACTATTGGAACCATCATCACATTATATACTCATTAAACCATAGGTTTTAACTTCACATTAAGACTTGGAAATAACACTAGCATACGGGTTACATCACTTGCTTAGGAAATTCAAGCTAGTTTTCCCAAAGCATCCAAAAGCATAACACCGAACGATGCAAAGTTTGAGTTTAAAACAAAGTACAAACCAACATGGTAGTTTAACATTCAGCGGGTACACAAACTTAAAAGCGTTAAAACATTTAGTTCGACTTCAAAAGTGAAAACATGTGGAGAGTTCAGTTCCGCCGCACAACTTTCAGCCATCCGGCTGACTTCACTGGTTCGACCGAGGCTTCTGTTGTTGCTTTGGCTCTGAAAGAGAAAAATATTGGTGGGGGTGAGACGCCACTCAATGAGTAATCAATAACCCAATATATACTCCAGTTGCGCACGGTGATCAGGTACACCAAGGGCTTAAGTTCACTGAAAGAATCTAGTAGCTTAAATGGTACTTTACCCAACTATGTATG